TTCTGCTATGCTAGTAACAAATCGGAGCTTCGGTGATCCAAACGCGAGATGGCGTTGATCTCTTGTTTAATTATATAAAGTGTATTTCATTATATATATACAAATTTTATATGTATTTTTGTATATGGTAGCTTAAAGAAATAAGTATAAAATATAAATAATATTTAGAAAATTTTTTAATATTTTTTTATATAAAAATATAATAAAATAGTAGGAAAATATAACTCAAGAAGAAGTGGCTAATCAAATTTTTGTGATAATTCAAAAAATAAAAGTATTTTTATCAAATTTTATATATATATTAAATATTATATATAAAATTTATATTATTTATATATTTATCTGTAAGATAATTATCATTTGCATATTTATTTTGCATATTTATAATTCTGTGTATTAAGAATTTTTTAATTCAAAAGTTTAGCTTCTAATTTGAATAATTATCTCTTAACAATTCTTTTAGGAATATTTGATAAAAAAAAACACTAAATCTTGATTAATCAAATTTTTTCATGGTTTATTTAAACAATTTTAATTTACTGAAAAATTATATCAGTAATGTTACATAAAAATTACACAAAAATTAATTAGAATATTTACATCTCATATTAAATCAAGAAATCATTCTATAAATTTAATTTTTAAAATTCATCAATAAAATAAATTAACATTTTTTACAAAAGTAAATTATACTTTTTCAACAAGAAATACTAATTCAACAAAGAAATTTAAATTTCGCTAACTCAAAATATAATTCAAATTTCAAACTTATATATCTCGTATAAATTACACGTCTTAAAAACTATTTAACAAATGAATCTTCAACTCAATGATCAACTTAATCATTATGTAAATAATTCTTATAAAAAAATGTTTCAATATCACTCAATCTAATCAAACAGATAAAATGTCATTTATAAATTGCAATTTTTTCGATCTCCTTCACAAAATCTAATTTTAGTTATTATATATTACAATAAGCAGGATGCATCGCGTGTGTAAAACTATTCTCGATCCTTTGGATCATTAGTGATGTGCCGGATAATCGGCGTACCAGCTGAAGGCTCCATTCGATCCCGTTTGTCCACCGAAATCCACGTAATCCAGGATGTGGGCGTTGGACCTCTCTTGCCGAGGACTCTTGAGCTCTTCCTGAGAAATACTAGGAACTGGTATGGGTATATAAGCCTCGGTTTGACGGGCAATCCTCGGTGTGGATGGTGCCACTGGACTCAGCTCGATCACGTCGATCCCATCCATTGGAATGGCTATGTAACGACGTCCGGCCAAAGCACCGTAGACACCGCACAAGAGAAGAAATGTTACTGTCTATAATGGAAGAATTTTGAAAATGAGTTTCATTTTATTATATTATTTTTTTGAGATTTTTTGAATTTTATATGAAATAAAAAAAATGAGAAATTCTTGAAAATCTTTGTACTTGTCATTTAAATAATAATTATTTCTAATTATATTATCATTTAGCAATATTTTCATATATTTCCAAAAAAATTTAATACTTTAGAAGTTTGTTGGAAAGTAAGAATATGTGAAAATGGAGCCATTTTAACTTAGAAGAAATAATTTAAAATTAATAAGAATTAAAAAATTATAATAAATTATATTATAATATAAATGTTAAATTTTATCTATTTCAATTAGAATTTAATTCTATCAGAATTAGATTAAATAAAGAAAAAAAATTATTTTTTTAATAATATTTATCGCTATTAAATTCCATTTTCGTTCTCAATTTATAATATATTATTAGTATTATTAATTATAATTATTAATATTTGCTGGTGATCTCTAATTTTCATTGATCAAATTATTGCTATGATTATGCATTTTATGTTCTTGTTTTTATGTTCTGACTTTCAAAGTATATATCGGAAAATTCTTTAAAAGTTAAATTAATCTTCTTCGTATTAAGTTTCTTTTGGAGATGTAAGATATCTTCGACATAGGAACGAATTTATTAATTTTTAAATCTTCGTCTTTGAAATGAAATCAAATGTTATAAGAAATGATAAGGATGATCCGTTATTTCACATGTTTAATTAAAAGTTCTATCAATCTATTAATGACGAGGCACAAATTGAATGATTTGTTTACATATTTTAATTTCTTCTTGTTCTTTGAATGACAATACAAACTTAGTTTCAAGGACTTCAACGCATAAATGCGTAATTATTTAATATCAAACCTGAAGAATATATTAAGAAAGTCAAAATAACAATAATTACAAAGACCTTTTCTTGGACAAATTTAACGGGAAAATTTCAATTAATATTCACTTTATTTATATCACGGTATATTCGAGAAAAAATGTACGAGAAAATTTCAATAATTAACGATTATATCAAATAAATTAATTTTCGATTATTATGAAATTGTGATATTATTAAAAAGATATGATTAAAAAAATTAAATAATTGAATAATTTATTTTGGATATAAATGGAAATTGGATGGTAGAAGTTCTTAAATTTACTTACTTACTTACTAACTTATAAATTTTAATCATCGATCGAATACTGTTTTATTTCATAGTCAATTAACTCATATTAATGAACCATCGAATAATTTCATCTAATGATTAGCAATTGAGCTAATAGGACCAATTAAAACATGTCCTATTATGGCAAAACTGCCAGCTGGTTATGTATTCTATTATTATATGAAACCAAAGAAATAGAAGAGAAGCCAAGTAATGATTATATTGAAGTGAGTATTTGGTTCAAAAAATGCTTCAAATAGATGATAGATCTAGAATATAATCTATCAAAAAGTAAGAAACAACAGATATTAGACTATCTTCTCATTCTCACATTTTAAAATTACTCAAAATAAAAAACTTCATAATATTAATATTATTATAATATTAATTTTATTACACTGTCAAAAAATTAATAAAAATTATTTTTTTGGATTCTTGTTTTAAATTATTAATTTTTAATTTTATTACATATAAGGATCCAGATACTTATGAAGCACTTATAATATACTTACATAGCAGCTATTGTCTTCAACAGTTCAACTTAAAACACCATAAGAGAAATAAAAATTTACCAATTGATTCATTGTTGAGATTACTGGTCACCGCGCTTCTGGTTTGAATATTCGTAGAACTGATGATAGTATGCTGAGTTACCGACGTTTTATACAGTTTCACTTGGCCGCAGCTTTCTCGTTTTTCTCGATCACCGAGCACATCGGCTTCCAAGCGATGCCAATTACTCATGGCACTTCTTTATCCTCTATTTACTGTATTTCGAATCGATTTTCGTGGCTACGAAGAACGCGAAAATTGATGGGAAACTATTTTTCTTCTTTTTCTTTTTCATTTTTTCACTAGTTTAGGAAGTCGTGGATACGACACGTTTCAGTGGAAATAAAATCCAGTAAGTTTAATTATTTGGTTATGAAAATTGGTATTATTCCTGTTATTATCTCGTATTTAAAAAATACTTTATTTTGTCGTCATTATATAATTTGATTGGTCATTATAGAGATATATAAGAAAATAAATATTTAAAACTATATTATTCAATACGAGAATAATTTAACAAATATTTATCAAAAAAAAAGAGAGTTGTTTAAATATGTAAATCTTAATTTTGATTTTTTTCTAAATTAACCTAAAAATTCAAATTAACCTCCTTTGCTAACTTACCCTTGTAACCTCACAAAATCAAATTTAAGATTCATATCTCATCTTACTTTTTCCTTCTAAAATCTTTCTCAGAAACATCTTAATTGCAAAATTGCTCTATCAAATTTCTAATCTAATAACTATATTCCGTAAAAATAGATACGGTTTCGCGTAGTCTTGTGTCGGATGAGCAAGCTCTCTACTCACTGTTCCACTGCAGTAACTTCCGATATCGTTCTTTCCTTGTTTTTCTTCGTCTCCTCTTGTCAGCGGTGTTACCGTTGTTGCCGTACGCCGGGGGCTTTGTCCCCTCTTTTTTGTGGTTGTCAGCTCGACTTTTACCAGTGGACAAGGAGCTCCGAAAAATTGGCGATCTTGTATGCCGTAATCCGAGAAAGCAGCGGCGCGATGGATAAAGTGAAAGGAAACGACGATTTAGGGTTCCGTTAAGAAGGCATCGAAGAGATAAAATATCTTATAGAACGATCATTTTATTCGTCACGAATATCTTTGCTTCCTCGTTTACTCGAGTTACAATATTCGATTAAGAGAATGAATGTTAATTTCATATTTAATATATCGGATGATACATATATAAAGATAAAGATACACGTGTGATCTTACATATGATTATAATCGAATAAAACGAGTAATCTTTGTAAAGCTTTCAGATCTGTATAGTGGAAACAATTTGAAACAAATTAATAATTTTTATTTTTATTTTTTTTTTTTTTTTTTTATCTAAATAAATATCTGAGAGAAAAATAAAGAAGTCAACTAAGAATATGCAACAATGGATTTAATATAGGAATTGATTATTTTCTTTATTAAGTAATCCTATCGCTTTGAACTATACTTTTATTATATTAGTGGAAAATAAATGAATGATATATCAAGTTTATTATATTTTTATAGAAACAGTTAAAACTTGTTTATATTTTCGTGTTAAAAATTATTACTTTATTTTTTAACTGCTTTAAGTTCTCAAAAAAAAAAAAAATAAATAAAAAGATAGAATAATATGGCACTATTTTTTTATAGTTTTTATAGTTTTAAAATCATAATTTTAATTAAAGCAGTGGAATTTTTCTGCAAAAATTTTGATAATTTAAAAAAAAGAAATTAAAAGTTTCAAAAAATCAAAACTTAAAAAATAAATAAAATACTTCATAATTTGCCAATAAAATCGAGATTGTTTTTTAAACTAATAATTAAACTATAAATAAAAAAAAATATTTATATATTTATTTATAATTTATTCATTTATTTCCCACCAATCTAATATGAAAACGAGCTTAATTAATTAATTAGTTATCTTATAAAAATAGAACGATCTACATAATTTTTTTTAATCTGTATATACCTTGTAATACTTGCAACTCTTATATGCTATATATTTATGTCTCAGTAATGGTAATTATGTACGAAGCAGTAAGGCACATAGTTTCTTAATCTTGAGCTTTAAGTAGCGTACGTGTTCTGAGAGAAATAATGCACGATCTCAAGAGTAGCGCTACGTGACTACTTGGAAGAAGAGTAAGGAAGAGCTTTTTTCGGAGTTTATCGTGCTTTAAGTAACAACTGCTTTTAAAACATCTACTTTATGCCGCTTTTAAGCTCTTACAATTCTTCTTTTATTATGTATCATTTTTTAAAGCGTTTGAAAACAATTCTATGCTTAATTGATGATTTTGATTAATCAATGGCAGAGTCTATTAATGCAAAATACTAGAAAACAATGTTTCGCGTAGCGAATAAAATAGATTTAAAATGCATCTATTAAAATAGTGAGAGAATCATTTGCAAATTAAATAACATAATAAATAATTATTTGTACTTTAAATGGCTTGAAAATAATTATTTTAATAAAAGAAGTAAATTGAATATGAGTAAGTAAAAAAGCGCAGAATAGTTTAACAGAAAAGTAAAAATTAAATTATACTTTAAGCATTAAAAAGAAAAAAAAAAAAATCAAAGCAGTAAAATACTTCAGAATAAGATTCTCCAACTATTTCTTAATTCTTTCTTCTGCCAGTTTTGATAAATATAAAAATTCCGTTACTTTATTACTCGATAACTTTCTTTCTCATAACTTTTTATGAAATTGCCAAAATATTAGAAGAATATCGGAAAATTATAGCATAATTTCAAAAAATAAGCGTATAAATAAAAAATATAAATTATTGCATGACTTCTATACTATTTTTGTTTTTTTTTTTTTCATTTTTCTATCGAGATTAAAGATTAAATTGTTATATCCTAAACGACTACGAGGCCAAAAAAAAAAAGAATAGAAGCGTAACTCGATGGAAAAAGAAAAAAAGATATGGCCGTTTCTTTGGATTTACCCTAGTTCCATCTCGCCTGAATCATCCGAAATATCGCTTTCGTAGCCAGCCGGCGCGATTGGCGAGTATTTGGCGACTTTCATCTGAGAATTGCAAGATCTCCCATACTGATTGCTATTTCCGTTCCGCAGATAATCACCACGCCCATCCTCATGCTGCACTTTCTTCTCGTTCTCGATGAAATGTTTGGTCTCGTCCTTCACCGGTGTCACCAGATCGATCTCTTCGATTCGTGTACTGGGTTTCTGAAAGAAATCGATACAGACATTGTTAACGGTCGCAATATATTTATCGCTTTAATGGTTAACCGCAGGCAAACGCGTTTGAAAAGAAGAGAACAAAAATCGATGTCCGGCCACTTTCTACGGTTGAATTTCCGGCGACATTCGATTTTCTTATGATCATCGTTTCTTATCATTTTTCGATTTTATAATCTTGTTGATATTCTAATAGTATTTAATTTTTCTATATACAAATTGAAGAAATATTAATTTTTGATAAATTTAGAATATCAAATTCCAATACACTCACCTGTGGTGTTACCAAATCGATTTCTTCAATTTGAGAAAGCCCATGTACATTAGAAGTTATCTTCAGATCTATGACCGAAGTATTTTGCAATTCGGAAGTCGAATCTAATTTATTCGGAGTGTCTGTTAACATTTCAGGACTCAAAGCTCGTTTCGCCAATGGGGAAGTAGACGCGGGAGTTGAAATAGCCGTGACTTCGTGGCTTCGATTGGATAACGACAACGTCGAGGAAGCTGCCGATGACAGATTCTCTTCTAAGTCGGCGAAGCCTTCATTTATCAACTCTTGACCGACATTAACGGTCTAAACGATGAATCGAGAAAATAACAATTAAGAATCAAAGAAATAATAAGAGATATAGATATTTCAGATACATTAGATATTTGATATTCGTATGATTTTTTTTTTTCTTTTTTGAAAATCTTAATGAAATACCGTATCGCAAAAAAGGTCCACGCAAGGAATCGGAGAACCTTCTCGTCGAGATCTTCCATAGCCAAAAGTCCGTTCTTTGTAACCTCTAACTTTAGCCGTCAACACTATCCATTCAGCCACACAAGTGAACTCTGCGAACAAGTTACAAGCATCTACGCTCCATTCGTTGTCTCTGTATTTAAAAAAAAAAGAAAAATATAATTATATTAAAATAATGAAAAATAGATCAATTATTAATTTTTATTTTTTACGAATAGAAAAATATTCTAAATTCTAAATTTTATAGATAATAAATTTCTAAGACCAAAGTATTATACATATAGTATTTACGAAATGCAATTTATAAAAATAATTCACAGTTGATTTGAAACAATAAAATATAATTTCAAGTTCTATTATATATGACATCGGTATCTATATAATACCTTGGAAAATATGAATTCTGATATAAATATTTGCACATTATTTGCAAGTTGTTTGCATATTCCCTCTCGTTCGATTACAGTAACGCGCATAAAATTAGCATGAGAAAAATTATCAAGTTTTGCTTTGTTGCAGACAATTCTCCAGATAAGAACAATGTGAACATAACTTTTTCTTGCAACATTATACTTCATATAAATCGGTGTATCTCTCGTTGTGATATAAAAATACTAAAAATTTAAAAATGTAAAACATTAAAAAAATAAAATCGTATTTATGATTGTACAACTCCGATTTCTTTTTTGTTGCCAATTTCGAGATGTTTGTTATGTTATGTTCTGTGTAACTTCGCAATTCGTGAATCTGCGATTGCCAATGTTTAGATAGAAAATTACGCAATAAAACATTTCAAGGAAAATTTAACATTTTTAGAAGTTACAAATATATATACGTGTTTACTTATAAATATTTGTATTTTGTTTGTAAAAATCGTTAACTCATATGGATTTTTAATTAAAGTAACATTAAAGACCCTAAAATTGTAGATCTTAAAATTCACTACAGATAAATTTAAAATCGTAAATATCTCTATACACAAATCTTGAATCAAGATTATGAATCATTTCTAGATTATGAATCTCATTCAAGATCAAAATTTCGTTAAAAATCGATAAACTTCGATTTCTAATCTCGAGATGACTTGAATTTAATTAAATTTCATGATTAGAAATTTAGACTTCTAGATTTTTTTTAAAAAAAAGAATCGACTGATAAATTTCAAGACTTCTCGCTTCTAAGAAATTCGTGATAAATTCTACAAAAGAAAAAAGGAAAATTTTAAAATTAAAAGAATTATATTATCTCAGATTGACTGTACACGTCGATCCATTTCATTCTCGCTTCAATTACCTACAACTTTTATGTAACGACCTATTCTTTATGCAATTCTCATTAACCCTGTTTCATATACGGTATTCAATCCGAATTCGTGAATTGATAAGGCTATTATCGCACGAAACAAAGAAGGTGCGCGTGAAACATCCCCATTTCGCGAGGTTCAAGCACTTTCGGGACGACTTGTTCCATTTATAACACACAGATGTATACACGTGCGAGAAGATGAAGTGGATGATGAACATAGACCCTCTGTAATGGTCAGAGGGTCTCAGTCGTTTCACGATCTTCGTGGCGAACAATATCCTCGTACAAATAGAAAAGAAACGAGAGAAAGAGAGAGAGAGAGAGAGAAAGAGAAGTTTATTTCATTAAATCAAAACGTGACTACACTGTAGTGACTATTTAAAAAATTGTTATCTTATCAAATTATCAATTATTTATCAATAGATATCCGTGATATAGTTTGCAAATCTTATCAGACAATTAAAATTTTCCTAGTTGTTAATAAATAATAAGTATCTGTGATATAATTTAAGAATCTTATCAAGTTTTATTTAATAACACTTGAAATATTTTTACTTATCAAAAGTGATTTGGAGTGGTTCGAGAATGAATTAATTCTTTCGCACTGATATTTTTATTATATAAAAAGAGAAGAATATATATAAAATAAGATTGAGTGCAAAATGAAAAAGTGAATTTTCGCTTGCAAGAGGGATTCTTGCTCGATGCATTAATGAACGTCATAATAGGCGCGTGTGTTATATTTACGTAAGTACGCATTTATTTCGTTTTTTACGCGCAACCATGAATTTTTATCGAGCGCGAAACAAGTATCGAGTAATATAAGTATTTGAATGTCAAACGGAGAAATACGCTATTCCCTTGATTCTCTTCCGGTTGCCAAGCGATAGACATTAAAGCTGATCTCATGAAACGAATATTGAATTATCCATTATTGAAAAACATTATCGTGAAAACACTGTCAGGTTGAAAATATCTTTGCCGATTGACAATTTAATCTTCTAAATATTTAAATTACTAATTAAAAAAATATAATATTTCGTAGTATAATTTTATAACTTAAGGCAATAAATTAAAAAATAATTGTCAAAGAGAAAAGAGGGAATTTTCGTTTGATAATTGAATTTAAAACTCTTGTGCAACTAATTGTAACGAATGTAAGGCAAGGAATTAAGTCTTCTAAACGAGCCCCTTATTTGTAACTCAAATGGTCTTCGTTGTTGCTTTCAATTAAGGATCGTTAACATGATTACTCCATCTGTTAATTTTAATTTGTCAGGTGGTCTGTTATTGTCATAGAGAATTCTTTACATGCTTAATATGCTTAACCAACTAAATTAAATTAAATAATCAAATTAAATAATTGAAAAAAATAAAAAAAATAAATTATTTTTACTATTAAAATATATACCTAATATTAAAAAACATTAAATATATCATCATTAATTTATCATAGAAGATATATATTATAATATAATAAAATTTGAAAATTAAATTTTTCTCTAAAAAAAAAAAAAAAATCTAAAAATGGACAAAATAAAGAAAAATAATGATTCACTTCACTAATTAAAGAAAAAAGAAGAAGAAGAAAAATACAATTTATAATAGCTTTTCTGCATCGAAATGAATCGAAGCTGATAGATGATGGAACGAAGAGAACGGAAATAGAAAGCGTTTCGGAGTGGTCTGCGGCTTTCTGGCAACGAGGCACTCGTCGGATTTGCCCTCGAAAGCCGTCGTGTCGCGTGTAACCGAAGACCGTCGGCATCGCGGTAATTCCAACTCGAAAACCATCATGTGTGCATTACTTCGAGGTTGTGCTGGTGATTAGCTGTTTCTCGGCACGCGATACGAAACCCGGTATTCGGTCAGATTGATTCAATTCGCGTTCGATTACTACCCCGCAGCGGAATCTATTCCCATTCTGATCGTTCGGGGCATTGCGGGGATGCTTCGATTTTTGTCCATCTTAATTTCGACAATGGTTGGTTTCGATTTGACATTGATATTAACTCGTGGCAAACATTATGAAAATTTTCTAATAATCAATTAATAATCAGATATCAATAATCTAATTTTAAAATTGTATAATCTTCTAGAAAATTTTTAATCTTTTTCGATGATCAAATTTGTATGATAAAATTTTGTAAATTTAATATTTTTTTAAATAATTTGATACTCGATTCTGTTGGATAATAATAGAACTGTGAATTTAGGAGAAAAATAGGAGAGTAAATTCTAAATAATTATCCTATTAGATGTATAAATTTTACTTTATATATGTATAATATTTACATATATATGTATAAATAATTTCTATAATTTCTAATTTATAGTTCAATTCTATTGAATCTGTAAAATTCTTTTTAAATACAAACATTATAATTTGAATATAACAAATCGGCAAGACAGAAATAAATATGAAATAAATTCAATAGAATCGGTCTCCTTGCTTGTTCCCAATTAAAATTGCACATATGTAATGTAACATCTGTATAGAAAAAATTCTATCCTATGCAGAGACGAAGTTCTATAATTGATATTCAATCGATTGCAGTCGCGATTGAAATTGCATTGAAATCGGCTCGAATCTTTCATTTGCGCAATTGCTGTTCCGATTAACTACAATTAAATTTCGATTTCATTTTCAATCCCTTTAATCCCGGTCTGAAACAAAAGCATAAATGTATAACCGACAAGAAAGTTTCGTTCAATTAAAGATAAATTAAAATGGAAAATTGGCGGCCTGCCAAATGTACAAATGTGTGTATCCGACGTTGAACTTACTACAATTTATACAAGGAAAAGTTCGACGATATATATATAACAGGATCAACAATCGACAAAGTGTTTTGCGCACTTTCACATGAAGAAGTCTTATCCGTTGTGCCGCAATTATAGAACGCCAGAGGAATTGTTTTTACTCGCAAACAGATTGATGAATACGAGAAAATTGAAAATGAACCACAGAGGAAGAAAAAAAGAAGAAATACAAGGCGAGAAAAGTTGGCATATGCGCGATGAATGCAGAAATATAAGAAATAATATAGATAGAAAACAAAACTAATGAAAACTAAAAAAAATATTATATTATAAAAATGAATAAGAATGAAAGAAAAAATAATACATACTATTAAAGAAGATAAAAAATGAAAGTAATTCTTATTTTAAAGTATAATAAATTAAATGATAATAAATTAAGTAGATAAGAATTCGCATCTCGATTTTCTATTGTTAAAAAGAATATTTTCTTGTTAATTTTTTGTTTAATATATTATATATGATAAAAATAGATTAATTGAATTCCTGATTAAATAAATGATTGAATTCACTTATTTAAATGTATACTCTACAATAACTCTAATTATTTGAATGAAAAATTATAGTAAATAAAATCAATAAATTTCTACTACATAAATGATCCATTATCATAATGATCATAAATTAATTTTCCTTTAACAAATTCAAATAAATGGACTTTTACGATACATAATAATTCATTATCATCCGATTATCGTAGGCCTTTTCGTTTATGTGAAGCCACGATAAAATGGAGCTATTGGTACCAGCAGTTTCAGACGTCGTGTTTAAATACACATGGCCTATTCCAAATTACAAAAAAACTATTTCGAAGAAAAGCTTTATAGATAGCCCGTCCTTCAACATCAATATAAATGGTATTCATAGCACATGGAATTTATCCATCAGATTCTGGAAGAATCCTGATGGTAAGAAGAACAATATGACGCAACTATAAATTTGTATTTGTTTGATAATTTCTATTATCATTTTAAATAATTTTTTTCTCAAATAATTTGTATTTTAAATATGAATGAACTAAATTAAACTTTGAACTAATTAAACTTGAGAAATAAGATTTCTTCGAGTTAATAAGAATCATGAAAATTATAAAATTTTATTCTATTTTTAACTTCTTTAATTTTTTTATATTTGAGATTCTAGAAAAAGAAATGTAAATTATTTTTAATTTTATTACACTACTTCAGAATTCAATGCATTTTTTATTCTGTTTCTCTTTTTTTTCTTTTTTTTTTTTTTCCTTTTTTTTCACTCGAAACAATCATCGATATCGACTTTATTAAAGGAAAGAATGGTCCACTGTTTGGTAACAGGCAAAAGAATGATAAACCCGGTGGTATTGTGCCTGAACATGTTGAACTGCAACGTAGATGAAGCGGAACAAGCGAAGATACGATTTCAATTTGCAGTTTTCAATGCCGACGTTAAACATTGGGAATACTGTCACGTTAGCAGGACAATACTCGAGCTAAAATCATACACGGACATCATTTCCTTGGGCTATAGAGACTTGTCCATCGTCCACAGACATTTAAAGAAGAATGGTGAGGTGGTATTAATGGTTAAAATACAGATAATTCAATACGAAAGCGAAAAACATAACTTGTCACAGGCAAGTATTTTCAATATATAATACATATAAAAGCAATTTAAACAGAATTTAATTGAAATTCTCCATTGTTTATATTCATCAAATTTTTTTTCTTCTCCAAAAAAAGAATATCTATAAAAATAGAGAAAACAAAAAAGATAGAAAACATTAAATGAAATTAAGAAAGAAATAAATTTTTTGAATAAAATATTTAAAAATAAATGCAAAAATTTGTATGATTATTGATATGTAAATTTAAAAAATAAAACAAACAATATATACATAAAAATTTTTCAGGATATGGCCAGATTGTTAAAACATTCATATGGTGCAGATACTAAGTTAATTTGTGGAGGTTTAAACAATACAGAAATTCCAGTTCATAGTACTGTATTGACTGCTCGTAGCAACATTCTTGCTGAAATGATTTTGCCTTTAAAAGAATTTAATGAGAGGAAAGATATGAAGATAGATACTATAAAAGATAAAATGGATATGACGATGTTACAAGAAAATAATATAATTGATAAAGAAAACGGACGTTCCAATGTACGTGTCAGAAGTTATTCTGTACCTATGTTGCAGAATGTTCGAATTAATTTATTTTAAACGATGTAGATAACAAATCTATATTATTTTAAAAATATCTCTTAAAAAACTAAAATTAGTGTCGATATTTACTTCATTGCATAGATTTAATTTTAAAGTTAAATTTTTCACTATATGCTTATTTAACATAATTATAATTTTAGGATTTCATAATGTATTTGTCGTAGATAATAAATTATTATTTTTTTTTCATTTAATAACTAATATCTATAATCTTATTCAAATTTTGTATAAAATTAAAACTTAAAAATTATTTAAAATTGGTTTTAAAATTTTATTATGGTTTGTGTAACTAAC